TTATGGCTAGTGAACAATAATAACCAGTGAACAATAATGACCAGTGAACATTAATAACCAGTAATCTTTATTACGTTAACTTAAATTTTGTTAGCTGAATTTCTTATAATAATAATAATAATAATAAAACATTAAGCAATACTAATAAAATAAAATATATATAGAAGTAAAACGCTAATAATAAATGCTAATAAACTGAAAATAAAATAAAAAGAAAATAATAATAGACACATTAATAAATGCTAATATAATGCTTATTAATAAAACCGATATATCTTACGATATATATAATTATTAATGTAACAATATTCTATTTTAGAATTTATTAACATAGATGGGTTGTAGTTTGGAATGTGATTTTATTTGTGGCTAGTCAGAAATACTATCACCTTTTAAACTGCAAGATAATGCTTGATGTTTATTGGTTGAATTTATTTAATATATCACGTAAATAATAAATCTCACAAGGGAGAAGGGGATTCTATAGTAACATATAATGATGTAATATTTGTCACTTCCCTTATATACCAATTAAATCACTTTATTATTAATTAAAGTCATTAATAAATTATAAACATTATATTAATAAAAGTTTTTTTTATAAGTAATTTTATAATATTTTATTATGATTAATATAGTTAAAAAAAATTCTAAAAAGTTTATTATAAATTAATTATAAAGTTTTTTAAAATAAATTTTTTTAAAAATGTCAAATTTTTAGCTTTTAAGTAACATTAAATTTTTATTATATAATTAAAAGATAAAACTTGTTATTATATTATATTATAAAATTAATTTAAAAATATTAATTATTTATAAAAGTAAATCAAAAGAGAATTTATATAAATAAGCAAACAAATTTGTCTGTATAATCCTATGATTTAAGGGATAATAAATTTTGTTAAGATTCTTTATAATGAAATTTTATAATAAATTATTTAATAAAATTTGTTATAATTTGTTTACAGAATTTGTATAATAGTTTGTTTAAATAAAATTATATAATAAATTTTATAAAAAGTTATTTAATAAAATTTTTTATAAATTATTATAGCAAATTTTATAATGAATCATTCAATAAAGTTTGTTATAATATATTATAATGAATTTTGTAATGATTTATTATATGAAATTCAAAATAATTTATTTAAATAAAATTCATAATAAATTATTATAATAAACTATTAATGAATTTTATTATAAATTATTAATAAATATTATTAATGAAACTTTTTAGTGAATTGTTATCAATTAGTAAATTCTAATTGAATAATAATTATCAATCAGATATTAAACTGATAACTAATTATTAATTAAATCTGATTTATTACTATTGAACATATAGTTTTAAATTTATTAAAATAAGATTAGAATCTAATTTTATATAATTCTATCTAATTATTATTAATTAAATATTAACTGATTCATATCTGATTATAGTATCTACTAATTTCTATTTATTGATTACTGATCAAAAAATAGTGATTAATCAAAAAGATACCTGATTGATTAGGATTCGATTTATAAGAATTTTAATATTTATAGAACTAGATAAAAAAATTTAAATTTATATAATTATAAGTTTTAGAAAGATCTTGCAATAGAAATTAAAGTTCTTTTTTGATATTTGGCAAGGATTTTTAAGAGTCAATTAATGATAATTTTAATGAATACTTTATAAAGTTTCTAATAGTGTAATTGAATAAGTTTTGGTAATATCACATTCCTATCCCATTGGTTTAGAGATTAGGTAGATATATGTAATTTTTCATTTATTAAAAATATTACTAATAATAGAGTTTAGAATAGTATCTTTAACTAATAGTAAAACATATATAGATTAATTGCTAAATTAAATATATAAATTTATCTCCTAAATATTGAAATATTTTATTATAAATGCTTAAAGATCTAGCAGCTTTGTCTTTTGTTAAATATGAAAGAACTGAATATTATTTATTATATATAAATAGGAAGTTGCATAATATTATTATAGATACTTTCTGATATATAATTCTTAGTTAAAATTATGAAATTCATTTATCATTCAGTGAAACAGAAATTGAGAGTAGAGTATTATTTTAAATACAAACTTTTTAGTTTTATCAAAATCTAAGATAAATCATTTAGATTTATTATTATTCTTAATGAAAACTCTATCTAAAGTGATTTTTTTTCTTTATAAAATTAAGTTAATCATTTTGTCAAATTAAGTCTTTAATTGGTCACTTTTTTTTAATGAGTTTTAATTTATACATCTTTATTTTTTTAATATTTATTTTAGTAAATTTATATAAAACTTTATAAATGCTATTAAGAGAATTTAACATTTGTAAGGTTAAGAAAAGGCAGTAAAAGATCTAAGGAATATGTTTATCTTTAATAATAAATAAGATTATACAAAATGTCTTATTTCTATTCTTCATCAATTGATCAAAATTGTTTTATTAATCTTTTCAAATGAAATTTTAGAAGAATTTTTTCAATCTTAATAAGTAAAGAATAGTATTATAAAAGTTTTTTTGACTTAGAATACAGTATTGAATAGAGATCTATTCATAAGAAATTTTAAGGTTACTTATAGTTAATACACTTTTTTTATTTCAATTTACAGATGATTCATATTGATATAATTAGGAAAAAGTCTTTTAAAAAATCATAATTGTAATTATTAAAATAGGTATTAGAAGTATTAACAAAACTTATCCATTTTGTGATATTTATAGATTTAAAAAATTTGAGAAGAAGAACTTTTTTCTTAATATTATTAATTCTTGAACAAGATTGAAATTTATATTAAAAATCTAAAAAAATAAGCAATAACAATTTTATGATCAGAATTATAATTCCTGATATACATTTTTGTATGACTCATTATGGGGGAATTGGAATAAAATTTAGTATTATATATTTTTTATTATAAGTATGAATAAACTATATTATAATATAAGAAGTTAGAGATAAGATTTTGAGAGACAAAAAAAAATGGTTTTTAGAATTAATAAGATTGTGTAATTTAATTAAGTCAGCATTGAAATTACTCATATTATTAAAATTCTATATAAAAATATAATTTAAATAAAATTTCATTTTTAATAATTTTTAATATTAAATATATTATATTTTTTTTACAAATAAATAATATTTAAATACATAAATAAATCTTTAAATATAAATTTTAGTTTTATAAAATTGTTTAATAATATAAAATTAATTAAAATTAAACATTTAATTTTTATAAAAAAAATAGTTTATTAAAATATTCAAAACTTATTTCTTTTAAATTTGAAAGAAAATTATTGAAGTGATACTAAAATTTTAATATATTAAAAAAATGATTAATCAATTTATTTGATATAATATTATTATTAATTATGTTTTTTTAAATAAACAAATTTTATTAAAAAAAAAGTAAAAATTATAAAAGAAATTATAACAATTATTAATTAAATTAATAGTTTAGGAATTTTAATTATAAGATACTATTAAAAATGAAAATAATCTAAGTATTATATTTTATATTATTTAAACATATAATAGTAAAATCAAATACCGTAAAATTATGAAAATAAGTATCCTTTAAAAATAAGTATTCTTATCACTTTTGCTATCATGTTTGTAAAAACTAAAATAAGTACCTTCAAAAAATAAGCATTTTTAATAGAATAATAAATCCTTTTGTTAGTTATTCCTTTTATCAATTTTAAAAATAAAATAATAATAATAATGTATGTTATAGATTTCTAGAAGATGACATTATCATTTTAGATGTTATATAATCTTTTTTTTACATATCACAAAAATAAGCAACTCTACCGATTTTGATGATCAAAAAAGAAATGCTTATTTTTATGATTTTAAAGAAATAGTAAATAGTTTTATATAATTTAAAATATAAGAAATTTATGTAAAGTTAAAGTTATATAACTTAATAATTAATAATAATTATTTTTAATCTAAATTATTTAATTGAATGATAAGTTTTTAAAATTCATTTATAAAAATTATATTAAAATCTTATTGAAATATTCTAAATAAGTTTATATAAATAGGATAAATACAATTAATAATAAGAATAAATAAATAATATAAATTATTATTTTAAAAAAAATGATATATAAATTATATTTATAATACTATTAATATTAATAAATGATCTAATAAGAATTAAAATACTTTTTATACTGCTTCAAAAACCCACTCGATATATATAGATTTAAAAATTATAGTAAAAACCAATTTTAAAAGACTAATGTAAATATTCAGATTTAACATTTACAAAAAAATATTTAAAAAATTATATAAAATAATTATTTCATCATCCAATAATATTTTTTGATCAATGATTACGTAGATAATACGTTTTTTTTACGTAGAACGTCAGTTAATCGTCTATAAAAAAAAAAACTTGTTCTCATAAACTTACTTTCACTTAGTACTACATACAATACGGTTCAAGTAGCTTAACATTTAGTAGTGGTGTAATCAGTATCTTTCGACGAATATTTCACCATTCCATGGTGTAGCAAATCTTTACGATTTGTTTTTTGCAATTTCAATCTTTAAAGCATCCAATACTCTTTTTATATTTCTCTTTTCCAACCTACAAATCGATCAACATTGACTTCATAATCCCCGAGAATCTTTTACAACCCTTCCTGCTCGTCTGCTTTATCGTAGCTTTGTCTTACCTCACGCGAACAATTCCCGCAGACTTCAGCATGGTATATGGGTTAAACTTTATCTGTATAAATACTAATCTTGTAGATTGCCTTAATAACAGAATTATTGTTGGGTTTTAATACGGTTTAACTTTTTTTTAGCTTGTTGCTTTTTTGAGATATAAGTTTGACAAAAAAAATTAGATTTGACACTTTCTAATCGCGTCATATTGGCTTTGTCGCACCATAGTTTTATATTTATGATCTGTGATCTATGAAATCACTAACAAATAGATTTCGGTGTATTTTATTGATTAATTATCATAGGACGATAGTCAAATGGACGTTTCTGTTGAACAGCCAGTAAATATTGATGATAGGTCTATGTCAGACGTGGAGGATACAACACCCGTCACGGATTGTATGTTTATTATTTAACTCGAAGTTTGGATTAGTGCAACTTTTTTCAAATAAGATTATTGAATTATGTAATGCAAATTACTGTTTAGAAATATAAAAATATATATATATATATATATCTTCAGCAGTTAATTTGTATTCCTTCTTTATTATATGAGCTTTGACTAATTTTATTCATATATTACAGATGAAGCTATGGCAAATAAAATTATGCCTGAACTAGGTCAAGAGGTTGAAGACTTCAAATATAGCACATGGCACGTCTCAAATTGGCGGAGTTTGGAAAAGAGGATAACAGGACCAGAATTCGAAGCTGGAGGTTGGAAATGGTTAGTGAATTTCTAATTTTTTATAAATTTGAATTTTAACAAATTAAATAATGAATGACCTTTTAAATTATCTTAACAATCTATAGGCGAATTTTGCTATTTCCCTTTGGCAATAACAATCATGATTCTGTTTCTATTTATCTTGACTTTTCTGATCCTAAAGGCGCTCCATTGGGTTGGCATTCATGCGTTCAATTCGCTTTAGTTTTGTGGAATCCTGAAGATTCAACGCAATATATTGTTCATCGTATGTAAAGAGAAATTTTTTTTTCTCTTTTTTTAGTTATTATTGTAGTCATAAATTTTTGCTATTGTGCAAATCACACTCTACATACACATTACTATGCTTTTTTTTGTTATTTTTTGTGGGCTTTACTTTTTATTTCAGATGCGCATCATCGATTCACTGCCGAAGAATCAGACTGGGGTTTTACACGATTTTACGATCTACGTAAATTGTTTGTACCTTCTGACAACCGAACGCGTGCGCTAATTGAGAATGAATCGACCAATATTACGGCGTTTATACGAGTATTGAAGGATCCTACAGGTGTCTTATGGCATAACTTCATAAAGTATATTACCTCCTTTATTTCTATCATTCGAAGCTTGATCCGCAAATATTCTCTTTTGTTATGGCCTTCAATATTTCTGGCGTTGTGTTTAACCTCTTCATATAGTTATGATTCAAAGAAGGAAACCGGGTATGTGGGACTGAAGAACCAAGGCGCTACGTGTTACATGAATTCGTTGTTACAATCACTTTTCTGCACGACATATTTCCGTAAGGTAAGTCCCATCAATGAAAATTTTTTATCGATAATTTATTCAATTTCTAAATTTTATGAAATATTTGTAATTATAGGCAGTCTACCAAATTCCCACAGAAGACGACGAACCAGTCAAAAGTGTCTCCTTGGCATTACAACGAGTTTTCTACCAATTACAAACCTCGGATACTCCTGTTGGAACGACGGAATTGACAAAATCTTTTGGATGGGATTCTTTGGATTCTTTTATGCAACACGATGTGCAAGAATTTAACAGAGTGTTGCAAGATAATCTCGAGGGAAAAATGAAGGTAGCTTTTCAGTCGTCCTTATTTAAAAATTGTGGTGAAGGTCCTTTATTTTTTATCTTAGTTATTCAAAAAAAAATCATCATAGAACACAAAAGCAGATGGCGCGATTACTAAACTCTTTGTTGGAAAGATGAAAAGTTATGTTAAATGCGTCAATGTTGATTACGAATCTTCTCGTGTTGAAGATTATTATGGTAATCGTAAAATATTTAATCATTAATATTATTAATATATTTGAAAGATAAGAATTATTCAAGAAAAAAGTTTTTAATTTAATTTATGGTTAGATATTCAACTTAATGTGAGAGGTTGCAAAACTTTACGAGATTCATTCAAAGATTATGTTCAAGAGGAAACGTTGGAAGGTGATAATAAATACATGGCTGAAGGTTACGGGTTACAGGTTGGTTAAGAATTATTCATGCGTACCTTTGTATAATCGTTATGCTAAGATATTTTAATTATTTTATTATACTTAGGATGCTAAAAAAGGTGTCATATTTGAAAGCTTTCCTCCAGTTTTACACTTGCAACTTAAAAGATTTGAATACGATATACAAAAGGAAGTAAATGTTAAGGTAATATATTTAATTATATGTGCTTGATGAATATTTGTTATCGATCCTTTCTTATTAAATTTCTATAATATTAGATTAATGATCGTCAAGAATTTCCAATGGAAATCGATTTAGATGAATTTTTATCAGAAGATGCAGATAGATCGAAACCTCATAAATATTTATTACACGGGTTAGTTTATACCTTTACTTTATATTTTATACTTATCCAGAATGTGAATTTTATTAATTATCCTTTAATGTAAATTTAGTGTACTTGTCCATAGTGGTGATGTACATGGAGGTCATTACTTTGCTTTATTAAAACCTGAAAAAGATGGAAAATGGTATCATCATTTAAATAATTTTTTTTTTCTATTTCAATTTTGATACAAATCAACGTTTAATTAATTAAATAATTAATAGGTTTAAATTTGATGATGACCGTGTTACACCTGTGATAGAAAGGGAAGTACTTGAGGATAATTATGGTGGTGAACCTCCAAATGCTAGTCCTATCACTACAATTCGTCCAACTGGAAGGAATCTTAAACGATTCACTAATGCTTATATGTTAGTGTATATTCGTGAATCGGATATTGACGAGTTATTGTCTCCTGTCCTCCTTGAGGACATACCTACACATTTACGTACGTTCATGATTACAATTTTTTATAGTTCAAAAATATATTTTGAAAATTAAATTATTATCTATTATGTAACAGAGAGACGTTTGGACGAGGAAAAAGCCAAAGAAGAACTAAGGAAAAAAGAAGTGGAAGAAAGACATCTTTATCTTCCTGTCAAGGTAAAAAAAAATTTTTTTTTTCCAAAAAAAAAAGGGAGATACTTTGTGTATGAATCATGATTAATTAGAACATATTTAGGTTGTTACTGCTGAAACTTTCAAAAACCATCAAGGATTTGATCTCGCTAATTTTGATGATCGTCAATACCCTCTTTCTGACGTACATTCATATAAAATTTTAAAAACTGATACATATGGTGCTTTTAAAGTATATATTGCTCGAACTTTCAATAATATTCCTCCTGAACAAATACGATTCTGGGTTCTTGTAAATCGGCAAAATAAAACCGTTCGACCTGATGCGCCAATACCAGAAGCTTATGAAAATGCGAGTCAGTATTTAGTATAATTTTATTAATATATAATGTTTTAAATGATGTTATAATATATAAATTGATGACTTACTACATTGCAAATAGGTATGGAAGATATTCATGCAAAGATGGCTTCCCGGCAGATTGAATTAAAGTTGTATATGGAGGTAGCAGACAAACCAATTAATGGCAAGGTATATATATAATTGGTATATATTAAATCTTTCATATATCTTTATTTTAATTTATATATTACTTCTTTAGACATGGTTTCCTCCAATTGAAGGAAACAATCACATAATGGTTTTCCTTAAGTATTTTGATCCTGACACACAAACTTTGGAGTAAGATAATTTTTATGTTAATTATGAACTTCTTGTAGATATTTTATATTAACATATTTGTTTTATAGAGGCCTTGGTCATCTATATATACAAAAGTTTGGTAAACTTGTTGACTATCTTCGCATCCTTTGTGAAAAAAAAGAATTTCCTCCAGATACTCAATTGAAAATTTATGAAGCAAGCATATTATTAATTATTATAAATTTATAATGTAATTTTATAATTCTTCTTTTATCCTTAATTATATATTTTTTTCCATATAGGAAATCAAACCAAACATGATTGAAGAAATGAAACTCAAATCTACTTTTCAACAATCTGAGATACAAGATGGAGATATAATTGTTTTCCAAAAGATGTTAACTGATAAAGAGTATGTATTATAAATTATTATGACCTTATGTTATTTAATATTTAAGATACCTTTATATCTTTTTAGGATTCAAGAGCATTCATCAGCTGGTCGAATTCATAACATCATTCAATTCTATGAATCATTGACTTTACGTATTGTTGTTTCATTCAAGCCAAAATTGAAAGATCGCGATCCAAAACCCGAATTCGACTTAGTTTTAAATAAAAAGTGGACATACGATCAGGCATGTGAATCTTTCCTATTAGTTAAATACAATTCATAATTAAATTTACAATTTATTAATATTTATTAACATAGGTTGCCGAACAAGTCGCTGCGCATTTGCGCACGGATCCTCTCAAATTACGATTTACCACTGCACATTCTACATCTGGTACACCAAAGAATGTAATTAAAAGAACTACCAATCAGACCCTCTCAGAGATGCTTCAAGCATATTTGACTCCATCATCACATCTCTTATTCTACGAGATGTTGGACATAAGTATTGTAGAACTAGAAACGAAAAAGTTCTTTAAAATTACTTGGCTTGGAAACACTGTTAAAGAGGAGGTATATATAATTTTGTTTATTAAATTTTTTTTCATTCATATTGAAAATTTAATAAATTACTTAGGAGCACAAAATTGATATCCGTCTTCAAAAAAATGCCATCGTTAATGATATCTTGGAAGAAATTTTAAAAAAGGTGACATTATCATCACCAAATGCCAGTATCAGGTTATATGAAGTTATGAATCATAAGATTCACAGAGATTGTATAGGAACTGAACCGATAGAAAAGATACAAGAATTTACGACTTTATATGCAGAGGTAAATTATTTATAATTATTTTATCGTGGATTTATTTCTTCGTTTAATTATTATTTCTATATATAGGAAATACCTCAAGATGAACTTCTCGCTGATAACAATGATCGAATTATCCAAGTGTACCATTTCACAAAGGAACCGCTTCGTACACATGGGATTCCATTCAGATTTGTTATTAAACATGTAATTTATTATTATTATTATTATTATTATTATTATTATTATTATTATTATTTGATTTTCAAGAATGTAGATATCCTGATAAATCTTTTTATTTTATTTTACAAACAGGGTGAGGTTTTCGCTGATACTAAGCGACGTCTTCTGCATCGGCTTGGTATGAGCGAAAAAGATTTTGCGAGAGTAAGGATTGCAATTGTGCCTGGATCTTCATACTCTAAACCTGAATATCTCGAGGATGATGGTAAGGATAGATTTTATATTGCATCTTCGATCGTTTTTATTATACTAAATTTAATGCCTTTATTAGATATAATCTTATCGGATAAGAGATTATCGAATGAAGATTTACTAGGGCTTGATCACGTAGATAAAACTGGTCGCGCAGGGAGGGTCGGAGGGGCAGAGAAAGCTCTTTACATTAGAGGCTAATATATTCGATTACATTATTTTTTTTAATTTTTTTTTTCTTTGTAATATTTGTCGCTTCCTAAAAATTTAAATTGTAAAAAAAAAGCAAGTGAAGAAAAGTTTGGGTAGTCTTTTTTTACTATTTTTATTATCATTATTTTCACGGAGTATTGAGTATTGTAGAACGGATATATATAGAGGGAAAAAAAAAAAAAAAAAAAAAAATCATAATTCGTTTGTTTTCTTTTTAAACGTTAAGAATATATACTTATAACGGTATTATTGACTTTTTATTATCGACTTGCTAATTATTATTATTTATTTATTTTTAAGAATTATATTGGTTGTCAAGAAGTCTTAATTGTTTTTTCGAATTCCTAATTTAGAGTTTTTCATTCATTATTACATGAATTTTAATGTTTAAAATCTTTTTGTTATTACTTTTTATTTGAAATAAAGATGTTCGAAATTAGTGATTCAAATATATATATATAATTATGATTATATTTTAAAACTACTATCTATAACAGATATTAATCATTCTTAGATATATATATATAATCTTTATAAATTTATACTTTGTCAGATTTTTTTATTTCTAACTCTTTGACGCCAATCTCCCTTAATCGGCTCTAAATTAGGATTATTTGCTGCTTCTCCTGATTCTATTTGTTCTTTAATCCAAGATTCAGGATCTGAAGAACCAATTCCATGTTGATGTTTTCTTACTTCATCCCAATCAGTATTAGAAAGAAAATCTTCGGCTGCTTTCCACTTTTCAACAAGCGTCGCCTTTTAAATTAAAAGAATATTAACACTTAATATATCGATTTACTTAACTTTTTAAATAATAATTACCATTTTTTTATTCTTGAATCCAGATATCAAAGGCTCTTTTTCCTTTTTACGTTTCTTTTCGGTTGCGAGTTGTACTCCCTGATGACTGACATCTTCAGAATATTCAGATTTTTTGTTAACATCTAAATCCACCACAGAATCAGGATGTGGAGGTGGTGGAGGCGGTAAAGGTGGTAACGGTGGTAGGTTTAGTATAGATGGTGTAGTTGAAGTCGACATGGAATGAAAATTTTGTGAAATTTGATATTGCTCATGACCTACGGATAAAGCGGGAAGATAATGTGTATTAGATGATTGTGACGCGACATAAGCGCTAGAAGAATTGATGACTACTAATAAGCACAACGTTTGTCGAATGATTATTAAGACTTGTATACAAACTTTGACTCGGATAAGTCGATGAAACTTGATTCTAATATACAGATTATTAAATATAGAAATGAGTATATATTTATATAAAATTGATGATTATAATTGGACAAAATTACCGTCTGTAAATGTATCCAATTGTAAGTTTGCGTTTCGGGTTTCCATTTACAAACCCATCCAATAGGTGAAACTTGTTCTTTTATTCCGATAAAGAAAAAGTTCTTATATAATACATACTGTCAGAAAATTGAGAAAAGATCTAATTTATTTAAATATAATTAATTTACCTTCGACTCCTTGTAATAACCTTTCTAATCCTTCAAGAATAACCTTTTCAAAATATTGAGAATTCAAAGCTCCGATTTGCCAATCATGCATTCTAGTGGCAAATTCTATTTGATGCCTTTCAAGCTTCAAATGAGTTACAATAGGTGCAAGGTTTGAAAGTCTACTATATGCATCATGTGAGCGACCATGCAATGGTGAATCTGATGGGGGAACTCTAAGAGAAATATTTTGAGTAGAATTATCCTTGAGAGTTGTTGTTTGAGAATCCATTTCGATATCAGTATTGTTAGGTTCTTTCGAATATAAATTCAAATTATTCATTTCTTTGGAAGTACTTAATGCCAAAGAACCGTCTGAGCTTATATGTTGTATTTCGTGCTCCCATCGTGTTTCTCCTGTCTTTTTATTATAATAATAATGACATTTGTTTTCGTTATGCCAATATTTTTCCCAATCAAAATCTAAATTGGATATTTGTGTCGATGTTGATTCTTTTTCATTATCTTTGAATTCATCAATCGGAACTAGAAGATCGCTATTAATTGATGTAACAGGCAAGGCATTGATTTCTGACATGAAACTTTTCAAAGCTTCTTCAATGCTATCTTCTGATTGATCGATAATTACTGAAGATTTTTCCGGATCAGGATAGGAATGAGCTGACGGTATTGAGGGCAAAGGAGGAGGAGATGGCTTCGGACTGTCCTTAGCTAGAACAGAAACGGTTTGAGGATTTGCTTCGTTTGGTTCCTCTTTTCAAAAATGTTTATCAGTCATTTCTTGTTCAATAACATAACCTCACTAATCCCAATACACCACCAACTCACGAAGATTTTGTTTATCGCCAACCGGTTTTTTATTATCTTATTTTCTGTTGTTATTTTATTTATTTTTATTTTATTTTTTATTTTTTATTTTCTTTTTTTTTTTTTTTGCAATTTATATAATAAAAAAAAAGTTGATTGTTCTCAAGAATTGCTAAGCCTACCAAGCTGTGAATTTGAAACTTGCTCCTCATTATCTTCCTCACTATCGCTATAATCGCCAAGAAGTCCCTGTAATACGTTTTTTGATTCTTCTTGTTTTCTTGCTTCATCAGCAGCTAATTTTATATTAAAGTTCTGTCAGAAAGGTTTTTAATAAATGTGTTGGTTAGAAAATTAATCGATACCTTTATTTTTTGCTCGAATGAAAGAAATTGGCTGATCTAGTTGCAATAATTGCCGTCGCCTTGTAGCGTCTCTTCGTTCCATGGTGTGGTATTTTCCATATATTAAAAACTAAACTTTGAATCCAATTTTATATGAATACAAGTCACGTGATAGTATTACCTGATAATTATAAAATGAAAATATCTCAAAAAATAATTTAACAATGAATAATCTTTATTAAATTTCTTTTACATTATTGCAACTTGAATTTGTTATAAAAAAATGTTAAATGAAAACAGAATTAATCAGAACAAATTAATTAATTTGATTAAAGGTTTTATTATAAATCCCATGCTAACGGAGCTACTTCTTTTATATTAGCAAATTATGTAAAAGTCATCGATTCGTTAAGAATCAAACCCTTTATAATTTATTACTATTTTTTTTTTATAACCATTAATGCTCTCTAAACAAATAATAAACAAATCTAAATTAATAAATAACAAAACTTTCAGATTATCAATCAAATTAAATCTATTTTTTAGTCAATAGATTTTTAATAAAACTCATATTAGATAGTTTAAAATTAAAAAAAAAGTGTTTTTAAGATTATAAAACCACCTTCTCAGCTTTAATAAAAACTTATTAATATAGTATAATATAACCTAAAATTTTGTAAATTTAAGAAAATTTATAAATTAATTTAGTATATTATTTTGTATTTAAGCAGTAATTAACTAAATAAAAACAAATTAATAAAATGAAGAAGTTAGGGGAGTGCCAGAAATGACGTCATTTCACAAGGAAGTCAATCTTGGATGACGTTATACCAATTTTCATTTTAGGTTTGATAAAAAAATTAAGGCGTTTTTTTTTAAAGTTAGAATAGTGTTACAATTTCATAATGTGATACATCTATAAAAGGATATTTCTATAGGAAAATAAATTAGTTCCTAAAGTGATTAATTTAATTTTAAATGTGGTATGTGATAGCATATAAAAAGAATATTTTTTTTTAAGTTTGAAATATACATTTTCTTTTTTATTATAAATAAGGTTGCTAGACAAAATCCAGAGTTTAGACAGACGTCTAAATGATAAAGGTAAAACTTGGTTAAATTATATTAAAACCTTATTAAAAAA